AAATAGGGGCATTTAATAAGTATTTTGTTACTTCAATATGAGAATAGGATGTTACTCTAAGTCCCTCGTAAGTTTGGGAAGACATAAACATTTTCTCTCGTTAATCGTTTGTAAAGTCACCAACACGTTTAGAAACATTTTCTTTCCAAAGTTTTAAATAGTTTAGAAAACTTCCTTTCAACCATGTAAATCGCTCATCATTAACGTTTTTATATGGTCCAAAAAAAAGTTTGCTTTTTGTTAAACTTTCTGTATGGTTTCTTATATTCATGCAATCAAAAAACTTATCAGCAAACTTGCACAGTTCTGCAGTTTTATGCATACAAGTAGGGTAATAACTTTCAATTACTTTTGACACTGTTTCACTTAACACTTGGGCAGCCAATCGAACATTCATTACAGAATATGGCGTCAAGTGTTGAAATGTTCCGATGTAAGTTTAGGGATAAGTTTTAAACAACGCTCTAATTCGTCATTATATAGTGTTTTTAAATGAGACCAAAAAATATCATTTTTATTCCACATATGACGTGTAACATTTCCACTTAAACCTACAAAGGAGAAAAATTTATTTGTTGTATAAATGATATCAATAAATCAGTATAAATATTTTTTATCAGGTTATAATTAATTCATGTATTCATCTATAAAAAAAATACCCAAAACATATATTATCAATAAATCATATTTACACAAACACTAACAAAATAGGAAAATTTACCTGAATGATAAAGGGAATTTCTCAAAGTTTTTATAAGGTGAGGAGCATCTGCAAAAACCAAATAAATCTATCATTTGCGAATAAATTTATTATACGGTATGTTACTTCACTTTCCACCAACCCATCCATCATACTATGCAATCGATAAAATTTTCTGTTGTTAGATGCACCATCCAAATCTGATGCAATAACATAAAGATTACACGTTAATTCCAAAATTGAAAAAGCTTTCCAAAATGTCATCATAAGCTGATTTGATGTAATGCCTTTTGTAGCAAAATATGCAAGAATAAACTTTAAATCAGATGCTTTGCCTCTAATATGATAAATAAGAGCGTGAGTTGCACTTGAGTATGAAAAAGTCGCACTTGAGTATGAAAAAGTACACTTGAGTATGAAAAAGTACTGTAGTTGATACTTGGATCGCCAAGATCCACATACCCAATAAGTTCGTCTGTATATTTATCAAAAACTAAATCCTCTTGAATCTTGATTTCATTAAAAGAAAGACAAACAAATTTTTGGTAACTATTTAGATTTAAAGTTTCACTCCGAAGATCATCTATTATTGCAGGATTGAAACCTACACAGGGTTTTATGGCATTTTTGTAATCTCTAAGTGTTCTGAGACTTGGAAATTTAAATATTTTGGCAGATCGTAATTCATCATATACAGATGCAGACTTCATTGCTAATTATAAACAAAATCTAATTATCATAGGATGATATCTCATCTTTGAAGTTGGATTAGAAAAATGCTTTTTTATTGTTCCCATAACATTTTCAATGGGGATATTTTATTGTAACACTTCATCGTTAATGCTAGATGATACAGCTACTGATTTTGATACAAATTTATGTTTCATTTTTTCTATTATTTCAGTCAACTTTCTGCATTCGAGTCTTTTCTCTCTCAAGGCTAGCAAAATTTTGCTTGGATGTGTTTTTTTCAAAGGAGCATTTTATTTTTGCAGGAAGAACTACAGTTTTTTTTTTTGTGTGTGTGATAGTTGTTTGTAAAATCTTTTTTCAAAGTCGGAACAGTTTTTACATTGATTGTTTTTTGACGGCAAAGAAAAAATAATATCACAATTTTTTGGTCTTAAGTAATCCTTGTCAATTGATAGTCCCGGTTGAAAGGCAGTTGAATTTTTGTTAGAACATAGTGACATACAAGTTTATTTGAAGTAATATTTGTTAATCCGAGGCATATTTTAAAATGCTCTATTTCAGTTACTCATACTTCCTGAATTTTTTTGTATAAAAAGATGGTCTCTAGAAAGGAAGTGCAACTTTTTGGTTTGTTTCATTTTCTTAAGTCTGGTCTGTGTCAACCTCACGGAAGTTTTTTATTAAAAAAAAAAATATCCAAAAGTTTCCAGAAGCATGAAGAAGCTTCCAGAAGTTTCCAGAAGAAGCATCTGGAAGCATCCACAAGTATCCAGAAACATTCAGAAACATCCAAGTGCAAAAATGCCTCCCAACAGTCTTAGATTGGAACTTAGAAAGAAAATTATTGGCAATTACGTAAGTGGAATGTCACAAAAAAGTATTTACGATAAATATCGCGTGAAAAAATGGACCGTATCAAGACTATGATTCAAATATTGTTCTACGGGAAAGTTGGCAGCAGATAACAAAAGTGGAAGACCCCGTTCCACCACTTCTAGAAAGGATTCCATGATCGTAATATCCGTCAAGAAGGATCCCTGGATATCATCAGTCGAGATACAAAAGCAATTAGAGCTATCTGTATCGGACCAAACAATCAGACAACATGCTGTTAAAGCCGGATTGTTTTCTCAACGCTTTGCAAAGGAAACCGCTGATTTCACTAAAGATCCAGAAGAAAAGACTCCTGTTTGCTACATCTCATATTGACTGGAATGTGCAGAAATAGCGAACTGTCATGTTTAGTGATGAATCAAAGTTCAACATCATTGGGAGCGATGGCATTTGCCGTGTACGTCGACCGGTCGGAAAACGCTTTGATTTACGTTACTGCCATAAGACCACGAAGCACGGTGGAGGCAATGTAATGGTCTGGAGGTGTTTTTTTGCTAACGATCTAGGTCCAATACATTGAATCAATGGAATAATGAACCGTTTCATGTATAAAAATATCCTGAAAGATGTTGTTACCTCATGCTGAATGGAATATGCCAATAAAATGGGTTTTTCAGCAAGACAACGATTCGAAACACACTGCAAAGGTATCAAGTGGTTTCAAGACAACAATCTATCGGTGATGGATTGACTGCCTCAATCTCCGTATCTCAACCCTATCGTGAACCTGTGGGATCGTCAACCGCAGAATTAATCGTGAAGGTGTTCGTAATTAGGATCAACTATTTGAATAAATCCAAAAGGCCTGGACAACAATTTCACTAAATTTCATTGATCACCTGATCGAATCTATGTCTCGAAGATGCAAGGCTGTGATCGACAAAATAGGATTCGCAACGATATATTGATAGCGAAATACAGCTTGGTCAGCATTTTGTGAAATTGCACTTGTTTAGAAGGAAATCAACTTTTTTTAATACTTTTGATAAATTTATTAGTTTTCGTGTACAAATAATGAACTTTGTGATGAATAAAACTTGAAGAACGTTGTCTCTAAACAGTTACATAGTTATTTCTCTAAATTGAAAAAATGCAGCACTTTAATGTAAAGAAACTATATTAGCATTATTTGGTTGCACTTGTTTTGTCCAATACTGTAGAGTTAACTCGGTAGATTTACATCAGTTGGTTTAAATTAAGTAGCAAAAAAATTACCAAAAACCAACTAATTTACTTTAAGAGATACTTCTTTATTTACGATTCTTTTGAGGTCAAAGTTGTTTTGATGTTGATAAGATTGGTTTGCTGCTCTAAATGAACTTCTTATTGATGGTGCATGTTAACTGACATAAAAGCATTTAAAGGTGGTAGGCAAGATTGAAAGATAAGCAAAATTATATAAAGTAACCCTATTAAAAATAAAAAATTTTTAGAACTTCTGCAAAATTGCACTGTTTTTACTAATATATGAAGTTTAAATATTCATGGAACACAACTAGCGCCACTGCTTTATGAGGAGGAAAGTTCAATGGCAAAAATATTTAAAGGTTAAAATTTTAAATATTTTAATATACTAAATATCTTTCTGTAATTTAAAATCAAAAAATTTGAATTTTTATTGTTTAAAGGTTCAAGAATTTCAGATACCCCAATATCGAAGTGAATCATAAGCAGTGATCCCTAAAAACTGTTTATTAACAAAAACTTTGGATCCAAAATAATTATTTTTAAAAATAATATAATTTTTGCGAAAGGTGCTTATTACACTTTAATCTATCCTGTCATAAATATTTAATTGACACTTTATGGCAATAGTAGTTGTATTTTCTATATAAACGCTTTTTAACTCGGTAGTAGAGGTAGAACACTCGATAGAAGTGGTAAAACGCTCGGGTTACAATTGAGAAGTTTAAGGTACAAGTCCACCTATGGCTTTGGAGGTAGGGCGCTCTACTTGAATAGGTTCTATCTATAGGGTGGATTTTTCAGGTTGGCGATTTTTAGCTGTTTCACACATAAAAATTCCAATTATTAAAGTTTATGCTAATGTGGAAACAAAAAAACCACCCAACTTTTAATCACAACGACCTCAAACGTGGGAACAGAAACTTAATATAATCTTTTTATTTTTCTCAACTAAATTTATATCCATCGATAAACTTCATACAATTTCATACAACACTTTCAGCGTTCTAAAATTATGACCATATAAAGTTTGGGTCTCCTCAATTTGAGGGGGTTACAAATTTTATACAATCAAAATTTTTAAACGCTGAGAAATTATATTTTTTATAAAATAAAAACTTTTTATGTTTTACATATTGAAATATTACAAATACGAAAATTCATTAACAAATGAAATTTACAATTAAAATTTACAATTTGAAAAAATATAAATACAAAAATTCGTTAACATATGAAATACACAACTAAAATTTAAAAATTTAAAATGTTTTACATATTGAAATAATACAAAAAAAGTCATAAAAATTGAAATTTACAATTAAAATTTAAAAAATACATTAAAAGTTTAAAAATATATTGAAAAATACAAGTTTTACATACTCATAAGTATCTATTGTTAAATTATGAAGCTAAACTACAATTAAAAAGAAAAGGATAATATCAAAATGTGATCAAATATATGAAGTTTTTGAGCAGTTTATAAAACTGTTAAAAAAAATAAAAAGCTAGAATTAATTTTCTCTTAGATTTTCTAATCGATTGAAGTGTTTCTAAACTTAGCAAGTTATTTGATCAGAATTTTAAATTTACAACTTGTTTGGTCTTATTTTATAAAACAATAAAACTTTTTACCAATAATTTCTTCCTGTTACTTACCGACAATTTTTAACTTTAAATTAACTACAGTTTCGTAGCTGCCATAATATTGCAAAAGACTTAAGCAAAGCACACACAATATTACTAATAAAAAAATTGAAACTACCGAGATTACTAATAAAAAAATTGAAACTACCGAGAAAAAACTGCTACTAAAAAAGTGATATTTTAGACGCGTAAAAAAAAAAAAATAAAACGTTTTTTTGAGTTATTAGAAGTACTTCTTCTTTTACGAGCATTCAGAAGATATTTCAAAGGTCTGCTGTTTATTTAAAAGCGGATAAGTACTTCGTGTAGTTGAATTCGATATAGCACGAACACGTAATCCAATTAATAATTTAAAAGCGGACCTCAGCTGTCTGCTTTTGTATGCATAGATTATTGGATTAAGTGCAGAATTGGATGCAGCAAAAAATAATGTTAGTCTCGTAAGGCGAATGGCTTTTCTTACATCCTCGTAATTATTAACTGAGTATTTACGAATGACAACGGAAAAAAACCAGTATATAACAAAAGGTGACCAGCAAATTAAATAAACCAACACAAGAACACCTAACCATATGAGGGCTTTTTGTTTTACTTTACTGCTTTTATTTGATGCAACTGAGGTTTTACTTAACCGACCTTTGATGCACAGTGTATACAAACTGGCGAAGTATGTGAATAAGAGAGAAGACAAAGGAAACAAAACTCCTAAAATGATTGTAAAAGTAAAGTAAACTAGAGGACTAACACCACTAGCCCATTTCCTTGTGCATAGCTTGAAGTTTTCATTGTATTTAAATGATATAACGTTAGGAATAACAAGGCCCAAACTTAATGCCCAAGTTAATCCGAACACCCATTTCATATGATGGAACTTAAGTCTCCATGATACTTTTAACGGGTGATTTATGCTCAGATATCTGGTGATAGAGAGCAGACTTAAAGTTATAAATGAAACAGCGGCTGCAGCAAAGAACCCAAACAAGCCATCTGTAAAACCGCATAACAAATTTGCTTTAGTACCTCGTATTCTAGTCTCAGCTATGTCAATGTAGATAAAGGGGAACATGCTTAAACACGCAAATATGTCTGAAATTGCAAGGTTCAAAATTAGCAAATTGACGATAGTTCTAAGTTTACGATTAGAAATAATAAGATAAGAAACAAAGCCATTTGATATTATACCTAAAAAAAATGAAAAAAAAAATAACACAAAAAATAAAAACAGTACCTAAAATATAAAGTAAAGTACTTTATTAAGAGACTAATGTGTTAATATTTCTACTGTCTTTTTTTAAAAGCTGATTTTTTGAGGCAATTCATGATTCTGATCGATTGATAAGCGCTTATAAATTGCCTCAAAAAATCAACTTTTTAAAAAAGACAGTAGAAATAACTTATTACGTAACTTAAAATGTAAATACGGAAAGGGTGTAGTGATAGAACGCTCGCTTCGTAAGCGAGAAGTTTAGAGTTTGATCCCCATTACGTCCCTGGTAGAACTGCGCCATACTTATTTCTCCGCGCAGCAGCCTTATTCGTCCAAGTTCGTGTTTTGGAGTTTAAGAGTCGTGAGACGGTTATAAAACAAAAAAAAGTAGTCTATTCGACTGTAGTGGCTGAGAGAGGTGAAAAACACAAATTAAATAAAAAAAAAAAAAAAAATGAAATCAAGTTTTTTTTAATTTTATATCAGAGCTCGTTAAATCTTTTTATTTATGACAAACCTCGATTATTTATTTGCAAACGTCTAGAGTCTTTTCTTTTTGTAAGATACCGAGAATATTTTTAGGCTAGCGCAAAAGGTTCAAATTTAAAAAATGCTGGGCAAAATATGGACAAGTTGTTCGACTAGCCTGAATTTTTATGGCAAAAAGTATTTTGAGGTCACTGATTAAATTTTTTCCTGAATGTAAGAAGCGAACTTGAAATTACAAGATATAACGTGGTTTCTAAATATCCGGACTAACTTCAACTGACTTATAAACGCCACAAGCTTAACTTTTTTCTTAATTCTTATATCCAATTTAAAACTTATTGAATTATCTAAGTTAATTTATTGTGTTTAGATAATTAATAAAAATTAAGAAAATAATTATGCTCAAGTAGAAAGAGATAAGAAAACGGATTTACGAGTTCTATTTGAATAATAAATTGCAAAGTAAAAAATTTACAGCAGAGCACTATGTCATAGATAGTGCTTCTTGGAATTTGTTCAATGCTAAACTAATTCCGAGTAGCACTATCTATGATATAACCAAACGTGATGAGAATGATTCTGGACACAAAAAGTGCAAGGAAATGACTCCCAAGGTAATCAAGCGTCTGAGAACCATATTTCACAGTGACCAGGTTTTGATAAGGCAAGTTAATCGAAAATTTGGATGCAGTCATTCACATTCAATAAAAACTCTTGTCAAGTACACTAACATCAAAACTTATACGAAACAGGGTATATCTGATCAACAAGAGAGCCAAAATGAGCAAATTAAAACCAGCATTGATCATCATTATCACAATTTTCAAGGAACATCGGTCATCCTTAATGACGAGTCTTACTTCACGCTGTTGCACTCGACAATTAACAGAAACAGCACTTACTACTCTAGCGACAGAGACAAGACTACACCGAGCGTTCAATATCACAAAAAGTGCAAGCTCGAACCCAAGCTGCTCGTCAGGCTAGCCGCTTCTGACATAGATATTTCCGTGTCATTTTTTATCCCCAGAAGCCTTTCAATCAATAAAGCCATCTACGAAATGAATTGTATTAAGGGAAGATTATTGCTGTTCATCAACGTTCATCATGCCGATGGTAATTTTGTATTTTGGCTGGACCTGGCCTTAACACATTATGCCAAAACCGTGACTAACTACTGTGAGACTCATAAAATCATTTCTGACAAAAACGTTGACAACCTACCAGCCAAACCCAATTAAAGACATTTGAACTATATGAATAGCAAAGTATGAAAACTGGTAACTGGCAAGAAAAAGACGTGAAGCAACTACAAACCAGTAAAAAGCTTTGTCTGAAAAAAATTGACTGTAACCTTGTATTTTCACTTTTTGGGTCAACTCGTCTTAGAGTTGGCTGAATCCACAGAAACAGATTGGTTGAAGACAAATTTAATTAAAATATATAGATAAAAACTCTGATGATATTTTTGTTTAATATCTACCTTAAAATCAATTCAAGTAATTAATTGCCCTTGAAAGTAAGTCCAAATTTTTAATAACCACCTGTTACTTCGTATCTGAAATGTGACTAAAGTGTAATGCAAGAAACGAACTTGAAATAAACTTATTCTTAAAAAATCAGCTTTCAAGTCATTATTTGAAATTCGGTAAAATAAATCTTGAAAGCAAACTTGAAATTAAAAAACATATGGCCATTATCATTTTGTAAATATGTGGTGACAAGCTATATAGAATTTTCTATTTTTAAAATAATTTTGGAAATATGTTAGTCAATTTACTCATTTAATGAGCGAATAACAAATGAATCTAAAAATGAAATTAAATATAATTTATACTATATAATTTATACTATATAATTTCACTAATACAACAACTGTCATTTGGATTTCGGTTTTATGTTACTAGTTCGTTTCAGGTGAGAAAGTATTTATATCATTATATCATTATAAATATATTATCATAACTATAACTATAACAAATTAAAGATATATATATATATATTTAATTTAATATTAAGATTTACATATATACATATATAATATTATATATGTATAAATATAAATCTATAAATAATATATATATATATATATTATATTTTTTTTATAAATAAAACTACATTTTTTTTACTGCTATAAGTTTCATGCTATATGCAGTCATCAGGTATAAATCATATATATATATATATATATATATATATATATATATATATATATATATCTAAATATATCTAAATATATAAATATATCTAAATATATATATATATATATATAAATATATATATATATATATATCTATATATAAATATATATATCTATATATAAATATATATATATATATATATATATATATATATATATATACATATATATATATATATACATATATATATATATATATATATATATATATATATATATATATATATATATATATATATATATTTATATATATATATATATATATATATATATATATATATATATATATATATATATATATATATATATATATATATATATATTTATATATATATATATATATATATATATATATATATATATATATATATATATATATATATATATATATATATATATATATATATATATATATATATATATATATGTATATATGTATATATGTATATATGTATATATGTATATATGTATGTATGTATGTATGTATGTATGTATGTATGTATGTATGTATGTATGTATGTATGTATGTATGTATGTATGTATGTATGTACACATACATATATGTATATTCAAATAATGGTATAGAGGATATATATTAGCTTTAAACAATGATTTTAAACTTTTAAGATTTGACAAAGTTTAAAGATTTCCTGGTTATATTAGACAAATAGATAATATAATACTGTAGAAAAGTCCTAGGAGAGCAAATGTAGAATTATATTGAAACAGAAAAGAGTATTTTTCCTAGAACTATTAGGTAATTAGTCCAACAAAAGAGTTTTCGTATGTGTGCATGTAATGGGCCAGATGCGTTTAGGGTTCAGGAGTTTTTACCAACTTAAACCATTAAACAGATCATAGGAACCCATCAGCACACTCATTTTATAGGGGACAAAGATGAATGTTGTTTTAAAATTTTGTAAGCAAGAAGTTTAAAGTTTGATCCCCATTACGTCCCTGGTAGTACCTTGTGACAGTGGGATGTTATTTTGAAATTTTTTAAAAAAAGATTTTTTCGCAAAATCTTTTTACAAACAAAAGCAAAAAAATTTGTTTTACTTCACAATATTGCCTTTCTACAAAATAATCTTTGGGTATAAGATGAACTGTAAAATGAGGACAATGGATTAAAAGGTTTTGTAGGAGAAACAAAAAGAAATAGTGACTCAATTTTTTAAAAAAATATTTAATTTAACAAAGAATAAAAACATAAACAATCAAAAAATATCAATAAAGAAAATTTTTATCGATAAAGTTTAAAAAAAAAGCATTATCTTGTGAAACAAAAATAATATTAAAAAACATAAAATTGTTCTAATTAAAAAATCCTTAAAATTATGTTTATTAGAACCGGTATATTGTGTAGTGTGTTTATTAGTACCGGTGTATTATTATGTAACATTTTCAATATTTTTTGTAAACTTTCCTGTTGGGAAATTCGATATAAGATTGCCAAAATTCAAAAATATTAAAATATTTAATGTTGAGATAACAAAAAACACGAATAATACTCTTTTTACTAAAATGAAGCCAAAATCAGTTAAAATAAAAAAACTTCTCCAGTAAAAAAAATGTACTGTAGATACGTGGTATTATAAAATGCTAGTTAGGCGGTTTTGCACTATCCCCGACAATATGTAAAAAAAAATTTATAATATCTATGCCTGGAAAAAAGTAAAATGTAATTTCTTTTTTGTCATGACCGCGACATTACAGATGTTTCAATGTGCCGTTCTGATGTTTAAATGAATTGTATAGATGTTCAAATGTGCCAAAGAAGAAGATTTAATTCGTGAAATCTTAATTAAAACACATGTTATAATAAGTAATTTAAACAATTGATATAAGTTTTTATTTAAAGGTTATGAACTAATTTAAAATATAACTTATTTGACATATATGTCAAATAGTTTGACATATATGTCAAATGTAGAATATATTCTACATAAAAATACAGGAAACATATAAATACTAAAACAATGCCTAAATCGCACAAACAAGTTTATAAAGATTATAGAGAAAGAAAGAAAACTGAATTAAAAGAAATAGAAAAAGAACAAAGTAATGTTTATTGCCAATAACCAACGCCAGAGCAAGAATTTGAAAAATAAGGAGCTTGCTAAATTATGACAGTGTAAACACAGATATCTTCATAAAGCTCAAGGTATCATAGATATTCCTTGTTTTTCTTCTAGTCAAATACAAGAACCCATCTATCATTCAAGTTATTCAGAAACGTGTGCTGTGAACTGTGTTAAATTGGCTTTACCAAAGTTGCCACGAAAA